TGTTTGTTTATAGAATGCGTTGGACACGCATGGAGAGGACTGTGATAAAACTGCTCCGACAGACATTGTAGTGACACGCTCCTCGTCAATATGTAATCACGTGACTGGGCTGTGTGACGGAGGCTGCATCCCCGGATGGAAGGGTGTCGATTGTACTACAGGTGAGAACTGAGTATTTTCTTTATCCAACTAAAGCTAAGGCATGTCGAGATTGTACTTCGTCTTGAATTACTTAGCACAAAGCTTTCTATTGCAAAACGTCCATACGCACATGATCGTTAATAAACTAATGTATTCTATAAACATTCTATATTCATACGTCTGTATCACCCCATACATAACAACCCAAAGGAAATCCCTCTACAAATTCAAAAATGGATTTACCCGACTAATTCGGTAAAGCATTAAATATGTGACACCAAAAATACTATGAATTCTAAGTTGCTTTTGGTCAGTAATACACTTCCTTAAAAATAGCGGTCATGAAATATCATTGACAGTATCAATACCAGAACTAATGAGAGTGTTGAAAGAAACATTCTAAGCAAGAACTTTTATGTCTGTAAAACTGTCCTACACACCCAGTTCCACGAGCCGCACGCTGTAGGGCCACACACGTAGTCAGCCTTTCCTGTTTTGTACCGTTATTACTTTCTGTCTTGTTGATTCCGCCTTTAGTTGTGATTTGCTTTCATTCATCGCTACAATAGGCACTCATATTAGTTCAGTTAATTACCGGGACAACACATACTGTCACCCTTTGTCTCTCTATATTTTCTGTAACTGACGACTTAAATTCATATTTCAACAGGGTGTGTATGTCCCCGATGTAGAGTACGGTGCCGGATGTGTGGGTAACTGCAGTGCCCGGATGTGTGGGGGACGGAATGCCACCTGTCCCCGGGATACAGGTGTCTGTGAGAACGGATGTCAGCCAGGGTGGACGGGAGAAGATTGTATACACAGTGAGTGTCAAGTGGCGTATGTCATACCACATGCATGTCAACATGAATGCGTTGACAAATACCGTAAACAGACACTGGGAATGTTTATGGACAAATTGTGACAGTTGCAGCAGATCTATGCCTTCTTCATGGGCGTCATCAGACATTCTATTCCAATGAATTATTTGACTTATGACTTGCATGATGCTGATACTGGTCATTGTATAACAGATCCCTCACCTGGGAACGCCAGTCTCTGTTATTTCAGGGAGTGTTTCATCTCCTCAGTCTAACAGTGGTATGACTGGGGGTATCGTTGGTGGTGTGGTAGCTGTGGCCGTGGTTGTGCTGGCTGTTGTAGCTGTTGTGGTTTACAGGTAGGTTTTATACAAATGTACAGGTACCTGTATAACTAACAAGTTCACGATGTTACTGAACATATCGTGTTTATTGTAGCACCAAATAGCTAGGACCAACTCCCAAGCCTGGGTAATATAGTGTACACCTATAATAAAGCATTAAAGCAGAATATCATCAAATCTGTGTGACCAAAAGCTGATACTTCTTGTATTCACCTGAAGGAGAAAACACAAAGCCAACAGTACCAACAAGGGGAACTCGATCTACGAGGACATAACAGCTATGGGACCAGAAGGAAACCAGATAGAGGGTAAGTAAAACACACAGAACAACAATCAGACACTACTGTGAGAGTCTGACCATGTTTGTGACATGAAGCCAGTGATGATACAAGGCAATAGGTGAGGGTATCCTGCCGTAGGTTTCTGAACGGTAGTGCCCCGGCTCTCATCAAGATAAGTAATGATCCCAGATAATACCATGACGACTTGCTGACAGTGGTAGGCGTGTTTAGAGTGAATGTATGTTGTCCTTCAGCATCCCGGGAACAGAGACAGAGGAGGATGAGGAGGAGAGGAGGAGGGGGCAGACAGAAGCTCCTACTACAACATGAAGACTCCGGTCACAGTGACGGAGGTGGCTGTCGACAAGCTGGGGACAGAATCACAGAACTCCAGGCTATTGAAGGAGGATTCGAACAGGAATACATGGTACATTTCCTTGTCATCCATTATTTGAAAAGTCAATATCAAGTTAGGGTAGAAAAGATGCTGCCACAGCATAAGGTAGGGACATGGTACATTTCTGTCATCTATTATTTATAAAGCGCACATCAAGTTAGGCTGAAAAGATGCTGCCATAGCATAAGGTAGGACACGTTTGTTTTGTCAGAAATTGAACGCGGATTATAACTATTTTTTCTAGAGGTTGATATCCGGGTTTACACACACGTATGAAGATTCTCAACGTGAGGAGAACAGCGGCAAGAACAGATTCCGGCAATACTACCCCCAGAGCATCTAACCACCAACATCACAGACAATGTATATAATATCCACTCGTCCTCAACGAGCATAGCTAACAGGGCTTACAAGTCCCTCAGGTGAGAATGTAGCTGACAGGGCTTACAAGTCCTCAATGAGAATGTAGCCGACAGGGTTTACAAGTCCCCTCAATAAGAATGTAGCCAACAGGGCTTTACAAGTCCCTCAATGAGAATGTAGCTAACACGGTTTACAAGTCCCTCAATGAGAGAATGTAGCTAACAGGGCTTACAAGTCCCCGTCAATGAGAATGTAGCCAACAGGGTTTACATGTCCCCTCAATGAGAATGTAGCTAATAGGGTTTACAAGTCCCTCAATGAGAATGTAGCCAACAGGGTTTACAAGTCCTCAATGAGAATGTAGCCAACAGGGTTTACAAGTCCTCAATGGGAATGTAGCTAACAGGGTTTCATAAGTCCCTCAATAAGAATGTAGCTAACAGGGCTTACAAGTCCTCAATGAGAATGTAGCTAACAGGGTTTACAAGTCCCTCAATGAGAATGTAGCTAACAGGGTTTACAAGTCCCTCAATGAGAATGTAGCTAACAGGGTTTGCAAGTCCTCAATGAGAATGAAGCAACAGGGCTTACAAGTCCTCAATGAGAATGTAGCTGACAGGGTTTTACAAGTCCCTCAATGAGAATGTAGCTAACAGGGCTTTACAAGTCCCTCAATGAGAATGTAGCTAACAGGGTTTACAAGTCCTCAACGAGAATGTAGCTAACAGGGTTTACAAGTCCTCAATAAGAATGTAGCTAACAGGGTTTACAAGTCCTGAATGAGAATGTAGCTAACAGGGTTTACAAGTCCTCAATGAGAATGTAGCCAACAGGGTTTACAAGTCCCTCAATGAGAATGTAGCTAACAGGGTTTACAAGTCCTCAATGAGAATGTAGCCAACAGGGTTTACAAGTCCTCAATGAGAAATGTAGCTAACAGGGTTTTACAAGTCCTCAATGAGAATGTAGCTAACAGGGCTTAGCAAGTCCTCAATAAGAATGTAGCTAACAGGGTTTATGTCCTCAATGAGAATGTAGCTAACAGGGTTTACAAGTCTTCAATGAGAATGTAGCTAACAGGGTTTACAAGTCCTCAATAAGAATGTAGCTAACAGGGTTTACAAGTCCTCAATGAGAATGTAGCTAACAGGGTTTACAAGTCCTCAATGAGAATGTAGCTAACAGGGTTTACAAGTCCTCAATGAGAATGTAGCTAACAGGGTTTACAAGTCCTCAATGAGAATGTAGCCAACAGGGTTTACAAGTCCTCAATGAGAATGTAGCTAACAGGGTTTACAAGTCCTCAATGAGAATGTAGCTAACAGGGTTTACAAGTCCTCAATAAGAATGTAGCTAACAGGGTTTTACAAGTCCTCAATGAGAATGTAGCTAACAGGGTTTACAAGTCCTCAATGAGAATGTAGCTAACAGGGTTTACAAGTCCTCAATGAGAATGTAGCCAACAGGGTTTACAAGTCCTCAGTGAGAATGTAGCTGACAGGGTTTACAAGTCCTCAATGAGAATGTAGCTAACAGGGTTTGCAAGTCCTCAATGAGAATGTAGCTAACAGGGTTTACAAGTCCTCAATGAGAATGTAGCTGACAGGGTTTACAAGTCCTCAATGAGAATGTAGCTAACAGGGTTTACAAGTCCTCAATGAGAATGTAGCTAACAGGGTTTACAAGTCCTCAACGAGAATGTAGCTAACAGGGTTTACAAGTCCTCAATAAGAATGTAGCTAACAGGGTTTACAAGTCCTGAATGAGAATGTAGCTAACAGGGTTTACAAGTCCTCAATGAGAATGTAGCCAACAGGGTTTACAAGTCCTCAATGAGAATGTAGCTAACAGGGTTTTACAAGTCCTCAATGAGAATGTAGCCAACAGGGTTTACAAGTCCTCAATGAGAATGTAGCTAACAGGGTTTACAAGTCCTCAATGAGAATGTAGCTAACAGGGCTTTACAAGTCCTCAATAAGAATGTAGCCAACAGGGTTTAGTTTACAAGTCCCTCAATGAGAATGTAGCTAACAGGGTTTACAAGTCTTCAATGAGAATGTAGCTTAACAGGGTTTTACAAGTCCCTCAATAAGAATGTAGCTAACAGGGTTTACAAGTCCTCAATGAGAATGTAGCTAACAGGGGTTTACAAGTCCTCAATGAGAATGTAGCTAACAGGGTTTACAAGTCCTCAATGAGAATGTAGCTAACAGGGGTTTACAAGTCCTCAATGAGAATGTAGCCAACAGGGTTTTACAAGTCCTCAATGAGAATGTAGCTAACAGGGTTTACAAGTCCTCAATGAGAATGTAGCTAACAGGGTTTACAAGTCCTCAATAAGAATGCGTAGCTAACAGGGTTTACAAGTCCCTCAATGAGAATGTAGCTAACAGGGTTTACAAGTCCTCAATGAGAATGTAGCTAACAGGGTTTACAAGTCCTCAATGAGAATGTAGCCAACAGGGTTTACAAGTCCTCAGTGAGAATGTAGCTGACAGGGTTTACAAGTCCTCAATGAGAATGTAGCTAACAGGGTTTACAAGTCCTCAATGAGGAATGGGTAGCCTAACAGGGTTTACAATCCTCAGTGAGAATGTAGCTGACAGGGTTTGCAGATTCAGGAGAGTCAGTACTGTGCCAGTGGATGTATGAGCCCTAAGATCGCTGCCAAACGGTTAACTACAAACATTGGTCACGGGGCATCCAATCCGCAGAGAAGTGTACTCCATTGACTGAAAAAGAATATTTCCTCCAATCTCTACTTCATACTATCAGTCACCTGTCTCTGTGAATTTGCTGTTCAAAGTTAAAACACCAGTGCAAAGATATACCATGTCTTGACTATCCTCAGAAATATCTTCCACCTGAGGTTTAGGGTTACAGCTGTTGATATCACACGAATGGACGCTGAAAGTCAGTGATGGCAGCAGGTGTTCTCGAAAAGAGTAAGCAGATCCCGTAGATCCTGCCTTACCAGAAGCATCCGTCATTCCCTGTCTGAAGCACCTTCCACCCAGGACACCCAAGTCCTAACACTTCATGTTAGAATCCCTGATCTTGTATCTGGATTAGGCAGCACCTGTCTATTTTCGTAGTTTGGTTTCACCTGGGTGTTATTCCCACAGTAGTCTGACACCCGACGATACATCGGAATGCTGTTGACAGCGGCATGCAAATTAATTTACCTGTTTAAATGTTTTGGAAACACACAAAAGCAGACAAAATACCTGCAGCCATGACAGAGTGTGTTAATGGGCTTATAGAACATACAATATCCTAACAGGCTGGCAGAGAGAAAATGAACCCTGCAGTCGGAAGATTTCATGACCTGTAGATATACTGAGGGAACAAATAAGGGATCACATGAAAGCACAAGTGTTCCCTTATTTTTTTCCAGGTTTCTTCACAAGCTTTGCATCACATAGCTTGTGAAGAAACCTGAAAGAAATAAGGGAACACTTGTGCTTTCATGTGATCCCTTATTTTTTTCCCTCAGTATATATGCTTCGTCCTCAGTGGTCATATTTCATATTTCAGGGATTCACAATGGATCAAGCTTATATTGCAGCACAAGGTCAGATTACATGCTATTATCTTCAGAATCGTTGGTAAAATACTATTACAGAATTTACTGTTTTCTATACTCTTGTTTTTAACAATATGAAAAGTGAACATACCAATGTCACCAATCAGAATCGTACTTCTGTGTTCGCCAGCACCAAACAGGAAAACGGTAGGTGACTTCTGGAGAATGATCTACGAGAAGAACTTGACAAGAATCGTGATGCTGACGAACCTGACAGAGGCAGGAAAGGTAGATGCAGTTCCATGTGCCATGCGCAATGTTCCATGTTCTATGTAGGTAGATATTGCTATGACTGTGGTAGATGGAGGGGTGGGAATTATCTGCTGTTATCAAGGGTATCTTAATATACCACCCAAAAGAGACTCTATCACCCGTCACTAAAAGGTCCCTGGGTCTTCGTTTAGTGAAGTATTCGTCATTAAAACATCGTCTTCGCATTTCTTTTTTGCATGAGCTTCATATTGTCATCTGAAGATTTACAGTAGAACCAGACATTCCATTTCTTATCATTCCACTACTATGAATGTACAATTGGACACCAGGTGAAGTGTGTCCCCTACTGGTCAGACACGTCGGACCTGAACGTGGACGTCCTCACCATCTCCGTCACCAACATCAGTCACAGAGCTCACTGGGTCTTCCGGGAACTCAAAGCCACATTGAAAGAGGTACATATAAAGATAAAGCATTTAGAGAATCACAATCGTAACATAATACAGAGAAATCCTTGTAAAAAAATTGCTAAAAGTAACACTTGTAATTGCATGTATTTCTACAGACTGGCGAGAGTAGAGTGTTTCATCATTTCCACTACACAAAATGGCCAGATCATGGAACGCCAGAGGAAACGCCACTGATGGAGTTCGTTTGGAGGATACGAAAGACACCGAACCCTGACAATACGCCCTTGATGGTGCACTGCAGGTATGTGGAACACACCATTAGTATACATGTGCGTTTATATCTCAACGTAATCATTCATCAGTACAATCTCTGTGTACTTGCCGGGAAATAGATTTGTACGTGAATTTGATCTCGACTCTGCACTGAAGCTACAATACGCTTCTTTCCAGAATGCTCGTATCCAATCCTTATCCGGCAATACACTTCCCTCCACAGTGCTAGTATCCCATCCTTATCCCACAATGCACTTCCATCCACAAAGCCGGTATCCCATCCTTATCCCACAATACACTCCCTCCACAGTGCCAGTATCCAATCCTTATCCCACAATACACTTCCCTTCACAGTGCCGGTATCCCATCTTTATCCCGCAGTACACTTCCATCCACAGTGCCAGTATCCCATCCTTATCCCACAATACACTTCCTCCACAATGCCAGTATTGCGTCCTTATCCCACAATACACTTCCTCCACAATGCCGGTATCCATTCCTTATCCCACAATACACTTCCTCCACAGTGCCAGTATCCAATCCTTATCCCACAATACACTTCCCTCCACAGTGCCAGTATCCCATCCTTATCCCACAATACACTTCCTCCACAGTGCCAGTATCCCATCCTTATCCCACAATACACTTCCTCCACAGTGCCAGTATCCATTCTTATCCCACAATACACTTCCTCCACAGTGCTGTAGTATCCATTCCTTATCCCACAATACACTTCCTCCACAGTGTTATGGTATCCCATCCTATCCCACAATACACTTCCCTCCACAGTGCCAGTATCCCATCCTTATCCCACAATACACTTCCTCCACAATGCCAGTATCCCATCCTTATCCCACAATACACTCTCTCCAAAGTGCCAGTATCCCATCCTTATCCCACAATACACTTCCCTCCATAGTGCCAGTATCCCATCCTTATCCCACAATACACTTTCTCCACAATGCCGGTATCCAATCCTTATCCCCCATATACACTTCCTCCACAGTGCCAGTATCCCATCCTTATCCCACAATACACTTCCTCCACAGTGCTAGTATCCCATCCTTATCCTTTACAATACACTCTCCACAGTGCCAGTATCCCATCCTTATCCCACAACACACTTCCTCTCCACAGTGCCAGTATCCCATCCTTATCCCACAATACACTTCCTACACAGTGCCAGTATCCCATCCTTATCCAACAATACACTTCCCTCCACAGTGCCAGTATCCCATCCTTATCCAACAATACACTTCTATCCACAGTGCCAGTATCCCATCCTTATCCAACAATACACTTCCCTCCACAGTGCCAGTATCCTATCCTTATCCAACAATACACTTCTATCCACAGTGCCAGTATCCCATCCTTATCCAACAATACACTTCTATCCACAGTGCCAGTATCCCATTCTTATCCCACAATACACTTCCTCCACAGTGCCAGTATCCCATCCTTATCCAACAATACACTTCCCTCCACAGTGCCAGTATCCCATCCTTATCCAACAATACACTTTCTATCCACAGTGCCAGTATCCCATCCTTATCCTACAATACACTTCTCCACAGTGCCAGTATCCTATCCTTATCCCACACAATACACTTCTCCACAATGCCAGTATCCAATCCTTATCCCACAATACACTCCCTCCACAATGCCAGTATCCAATCCTTATCCCACAATACACTCCCTCCACAGTGCCAGTATTCCATCCTTATCCCACAATACACTTCCTTCACAGTGCCAGTATCCCATCCTTATCCAACAATACACTTCCCTCCACAGTGCTAGTGTATCCTATCCTTATCCAACAATACACTTTTATCCACAGTGCCAGTATCCCATCCTTATCCCAGACAATACACTTCCCTCCACAGTGCTAGTATCCCATCCTTATCCTACAATATACACTTGTCCTCCACAGTGCCAGTATCCTATCCTTATCCTAACTATACACTTCTATCCACAGTGCCAGTATCCTATCCTTATCCCACAATACACTTCTCCACAGTGCCAGTATCCCATCCTTATCCAACAATACACTTCCTCCACAGTGCCAGTATCCCATCCTTATCCAACAATACACTTCTATCCACAGTGCCAGTATCCCATCCTTATCCCACAATACACTTCCTCCACAGTGCCAGTATCCCATCCTTATCCTACAATACACTCTCCACGTGTGTGCTAGTATCCCATCCTTATCCTATATATACACTTCTATCCACAGTGCCAGTATCCCATCCTTATCCCACAATACACTTCCCTCCACAGTGCCAGTATCCCATCCTTATCCTACAATACACTCCCTCCACGGTGCCAGTATCCCATCCTTATCCAACAATACACTTCTATCCACAGTGCCAGTATCCAATCCTTATCCCTACAATACACTTCCCTCCACAGTGCCAGTATCCCATCCTTATCCTACAATACACTTCCCTCCACAGTGCCAGTATCCCATCCTTATCCTACAATACACTTCTCTCCACAGTGCCAGTATCCAATCCTATCCCACAATACACTTCCCCTTCCACAGTGCCAGTATCCAATCCTTATCCCACAATACACTTCCCTCCACAGTGCCAGTATCCCATCCTTATCCCACAATACACTTCCCTCCACAGTGCCAGTATCCCATCCTTATCCCACAATACACTTCCCTCCACAGTGCCAGTATCCCATCCTTATCCCACAATACACTTCCTCCACAGTGCCAGTATCCAATCCTTATCCCCCTATACACTTCCCTCCACAGTGCCAGTATCCCATCCTTATCCCACAATACACTTCCCTCCACAGTGCCAGTATCCCATCCTTATCCCACAATACACTTCCTCCACAGTGCTGTGTATCCAACCTTATCCCCTTATACACTTCCTCCACAGTGCCAGTATCCCATCCTTATCCCACAATACACTTCCCTCCACAGTGCCAGTATCCCATCCTATCCCACAATACACTTCCTCCACAGTGCCAGTATCCCATCCTTATCCCACAAAAGTACACTTCCTCTCCACAGTGCTGGTATCCCATCCTTATCCCACAATACACTTCTGCACAGTGCCAGTATCCCATCCTTATCCCCCTATATACTTCCCTCCACAGTGCCAGTATCCCATCCTATCCCACAATACACTTCCATCTCCACAGTGCCGGTATCCCATCCTTATCCCACAATACACTTCTCCACAGTGCCAGTATCCCATCCTTATCCCCCTCTATACACTTCCCCCTTCACAGTGCCAGTAGTATCCATCCTTATCCCACAATACACTTCCTCCACAGTGCCAGTATCCCATCCTTATCCCACAATACACTTCCTCCTACAGTGCCAGTATCCCATCCTTATCCCACAATACACTTCCCTCCACAGTGCCAGTATCCCATCTCTATCCCACAATACACTTCCCTCCACAGTTATCAGGTATTGGCCGGACAGGGACGTATATCGCCGTGGACTACCTGCTGGACCGGGCGATGGCTGACCAGAAGGTGGACGTGTTCGATTTGTAAATCTCTATGAGACAACAGCGGAGAAATATGATTCAGACCAAGGTATGTCACAAAATATGTCTGTTGTACTGTCGCATGTGACCATATCTCATCATTTTAGTCCATCAATAAAACCCCTTGTCTTATGATACAGGAGCAGTACGCATGCGTGTACACGACCCTACACGAGGCAGTGATGATGGGGGACACGACCTTGACCTTACCTGAATTTAGACAAGAAAGACGAACAAAGAAGGTGTTCAAGATGGGGACCACATCAGTATCTCAGATGATGCAGGTGCGTGTTTGTTTCACTGATTCTGTTAGGAATCCCAGAGTTAGTGAGTCACACCGGCAATATTCCAGCTATATCGTGACAGGAATACAAGATATCAGTTATACATCACGACACTGGCGTCAACAAGGAGGGTTGGTAAATGTGCAGTTATACACCAAATTAAGTAACTATGATACTTGTACTTGCTGAATATATAGCGATAACTCAATGAATGTAGAGACAACTGTTTTTCATAAGTGCAAAGCACTGAAAGTCCATTGTATTTTGTTGTGCTGTCGGGGACTGTAGTTGAACAGCAGTTGTACAATACACACAATCTTGTAACTCATGGCACGCTGCACCTTTGCATCAATATATCTCAGACATGATATGGACACTGTATGTTTTTGTCTTTCAGAGAGTTAAAGTCAGCATCAAAGAACGTAAGTCAGGTAAGAACATTTCCTCTGGGCTGATAATTTCTTTGCAATGTACACTGATATCATGGTCACATTATGTAAATGGTTTTAACTTCTTTGAGTGGCATTTTAGAAGTTGGGAAGTACAATATAGAACAAACTTTATGGATAAAAAGAAGTTGTTATCCATAAAGTTTGTTCTATATTGTAAATGGTTTTAGCATTCACCCCGAGTCATGCGCTTCGTTTATGAGTGAGTTAAAATTTGACACCGTATCGGCAATATTACAGCCATATAGGGATGAAAACAAGGTAATCAATTTAAAATATTTGTCGACACGGGACAGTATAACTAACTAGACTATCACAGATATATGTTTAAAACTAGTAATTAAATCTAAAATACTTTAACTATGGAGGATGATGCAATATTAAAAATGCTATAGATCGCCAACAACTGAAGGTAGATCTCCATACTAGGAACCATGGGGACTTACAGTACCTTTGCTTCATTGATGGGTATCAAAAAGTTCGTGGAGGAAAACAAGAACGGATGTATGTCGTAATGTAAATAGTTTCGATGGCGGGTACTACGGGCAGGATATGTTGAACCCTTGCTCGAACACCGGGTGTCATCATTGATTTTCAGTGATCCGTTCCTGTAATCTTCACCAATAGTGTGCCTTTTACACCCAATGGAATCTGTAATTTAGGCTGGTTATTCTGTGGTTATTTTTGTTTATTTCCAACTTTAGTGACACCTCAATCAAGGGTATGATACTGAAAACACCTAAAATCGTTTGAGCGGGAAATGAGGCATTCGGTCCCATGATGAGATTTTAGAATACATGCCACTCCTTAAGGAAATATTTATTCTGAAAACCCTTTGCCTTAATTATATCTTTTTGTGTTTGACAGCTGGGCGCATCGAGGGCCGTATGGGGTGAACGGACGGACAGACATCTTAGCCGTGATGATGCCAGTAAGTATACCGACTCCTCCCCGCGCCATGTACAGGTACAACGTGTGAGTGAGTCAGTTTAGTTTTACGCCACACTCTGCAATATTCCAGTTACATGGCGACAGTTTGTAACTAATCTAGTCTGGACTAGACAATCCAGTGATCAACAGCACGAGCATCGATCTTGGCTGTTGGGAACCGATGACATGTGTCAACCAAGCCAGCGAGCCTGACCACCCGATCCCGTTAGTCGCCTCTTACGACAAGCATGGGTTACTGAAGATCTTGCCCGGATCTTGATATTCAATAGATATATTCAACAATTGGTACCTATGTCGAATGTACTCACGTCTTGAGAACTGATCATCACACATATTACCTCAATCAATAATGTTTGTATTTTATGTCACATATGTACGAGTTTTATTCATATGAAGCGAGTCTTGCATTTGTTCTCCTTCAGTCCCACCTGTCCATGAATGGCTACCTGTTAACTGAGGCCCTCCGTCACCACGGCGTCTCTGTTCTGGAAACTCACAGAGGAACAGGAGTCTTCCACTGTCATTGTCCTGCCAGACTCGCTCCAGGTGAGATGAAATACTCTGAGAAGCGTTTAGAGACTGCAACTGGAAAGAACTGATTTGATGTGGATGTAAATGTTGATATTTCAGAATCTGGCTGGCTACATGCCTTCTCTAGGACACAGCCTGGACCAGGGAACGGTGATCGTGTCTTGTTCTACAGAGAACACACTCAACTCAGACATCGTGCTCCGGAAGATCAACAGGCAGATGGAGGTGGGACGTTGTTGCATGCTCCTACATTACTTGTCATAGAATATTACGCACATTAAATACTTACCCATTTATGGCAAATAATGTATACTGAAATCTTGGGTTCGCAGGGCAGTGAATCTTCACAACTGGTGCACGTGTACCTTCTGAAGACCTTCCGGAAAGATGATCATTCCTCTCTGTTCTACCTCCTGGATCAAGTTGACCTCAACACAGGGGAAGATAACTCTCATCCACTAACAGTTATATTCAGGTTGAACATATTTGAAAAATATATTTGTGACAAAAGTTGGCCAAATTAATACGCAGTATAAGATAACTCTTAATCTAAAATATACATTACGGAAATTTGGAAGTGCCACCAAATTATTTTTGTTTTGTTTTAGACATTTTATTCATTCACCCCTGTTACAAAGCATTTACATTCATAATATTTGATGTAATCGGTACTTTACACTTTACTTGTGGGTTTTAGTACAAATGACACACACGCACGCACGCGCACGCAAACACAAGCCCCTTTTAATATCTGGCATAAACTTCAGATTATATTTTTGGTCTTAGACATGAAAAATAAACAAAAGAATAGAACATTTTACTATTGCTGCTTTCCTGAAGGAAATATTATATGATACAAGATCCAAGACTGGTGAAATTTATCAACAGTACAAGTGCTTAAGGATATGTCTTTTCCTATTTTATATCTGACAAAATGTTCCTTTGAGAATCTTTTAAACTGTGGTTTACATTCCTGATGTTTACATTTGTATATGAAAAATTAGGCAAACAACAGAATAAAGTCAAATATTCTGTCTGTAACAATGTTTTCCTTTACACTAAACAATATCAATTCTATACCAAGGTTCATGATACATATATGTGAACATTTCATTATCCATGAGCAGAGATCATTCCAAAACAACCGGATAAACTTACAATCCCACAACAAGTGGGTAATTGTTTCGCTATCTGTTTGGCAAAATGTTCATAAATCATTTTCTATGTACTTCATGTTAAATAAGTAAGTATTGGTTGTAAGAATTCTATGTATTATTCTATATTGAAACCAACCAATTTAAACTTCTTGTGTTGTTCGAATCATTTTAGAGTAGAGACTGATGAAGTTTTTTGTCCAACAGTGAAAATGAACGGCGATCAGCGACGTTGTTCTGTATCCTCAGCAACATCGTGCAGGGCATGAAGTACGACAACGTGGTGGAGATCTACAACCACATCAGACAGCTGGGACACCTGTGTGATAATGATCTCTCTCAGGTAGACATCAGAACGACCAAAGTAATCATCACTGACACCGTTACTGTGATGTATTGAGTTAAATCAGCTGTTGCTGTACAGAGTTAGCTGATAATAGTCTTATAACAATGTTCCTATATGTTTACAATGTATGACACAGTGACCTTATCTTCCAGGCTGACGTCTCGCTGTGTTATGACATGGCGTCATCGTATCTGGAGACACAGAATATTTACGCCAACATGTGATGGGGTCCAGCATCACTGACCACGTACATCCACTCTGAACATGTCCAGCATCACTGACACCGTTACTGTGATGTATTGAGTTAAATCAGCTGTTGCTGTACAGAGTTAGCTGATAATAGTCTTATAACAATGTTCCTATATGTTTACAATGTATGACACAGTGACCTTATCTTCCAGGCTGACGTCTCGCTGTGTTATGACATGGCGTCATCGTATCTGGAGACACAGAATATTTACGCCAACATGTGATGGGGACCAGCATCACTGACCACGTACATCCACTCTGAACATGTCCATCAGTACAACTAGCATCATCCTATCTGGAGACACAGAGTATTTACGCCAACATGTGATGGGGACCAGTACCACTGACCACGTACTTCCACTCTGAACATGTCCAGCATCACTGACCACGTACATCCACTCTGAACATGTCCAGCATCACTGACCACGTACATCCATTCTGAACATGTCCAGCATCACTGACCTCGTACATCCATTCTGAACATGTCCATCAATACAACTAGCATCATCCTATCTGGAGACACAGAGTATTTACGCCAACATGTGATGGGGACCAGCACCACTGACCACGTACATCCACTCTGAACATGTCCAGCATCACTGACCACGTACATCCACTCTGAACATGTCCATCAGTACAACTAACATCATGCTATCTGGAGACACAGAATATTTACGCCAACATGTGATGGGGTCCAGCATCACTGACCACGTACATCCTATCTGGAGACACAGATTATTTACGCCAACATGTGATGGGGTCCAGAATCACTGACCACGTACATCCTATCTGGAGACACAGATTATTTACGCCAACATGTGATGGGGTCCAGCATCACTGACCACGTACATCCACTCTGAACATGTCCAGCATCACTGACCTCGTACATCCACTCTGAACATGTCCAGCATCAGTGGCCACGTACATCCACTCTGAACATGTCCAGCATCACTGACCACGTACATCCACTCTGAACATGTCCAGCATCACTGACCACGTACATCCACTCTGAACATGTCCAGCATCACTGACCACGTACATCCACTCTGAACATGTCCAGCATCACTGACCTCGTACATCCACTCTGAACATGTCCAGCATCAGTGGCCACGTACATCCACTCTGAACATGTCCAGCATCACTGACCACGTACATCCACTCTGAACATGTCCAGCATCACTGACCACGTACATCCACTCTGAACATGTCCAGCATCACTGACCTCGTACATCCACTCTGAACATGTCCAGCATCACTGGCCACGTACATCCACTTTGAACATGTCCAGCATCACTGGCCACGTACTTCCACTCTGAACATGTCCAGCATCACTGACCTCGTACATCCACTCTGAACATGTCCAGCATCACTGACCACGTACATCCACTCTGAACATGTCCAGCATCACTGACCACGTACATCCTATCTGGAGACACAGAATATTTACGCCAACATGTGATGGGGACCAGCATCACTGACCACGTACATCCACTCTGAACATGTCCATCAGTACAACTAGCATCATGCTATCTGGAGACACAGAGTATTTACGCCAACATGTGATGGGGACCAGCACCACTGACCACGTACATCCACTCTGAACATGTCCAGCATCACTGACCACGTACATCCAATCTGGAGACACAGAATATTTACGCCAACATGTGATGGGGACCAGCATCACTGGCCACGTACATCCACTCTGAACATGTCCAGCACCACTGACCACGTACATCCACTCTGAACATGTCCAGCATCACTGACCACGTACATCCACTCTGAACATGTCCAGCATCACTGACCACGTACATCCACTCTGAATATGTCCAGCATCACTGACCACGTACATCCACTCTGAACATGTCCAACATCACTTACCACGTACATCCACTCTGAACATGTCCAGCATCACTGACCACGTACATCCATTCTGAACATGTCCAGCATCACTGACCTCGTACATCCACTCTGAACATGTCCAGCATCACTGGCCACGTACTTCCACTCTGAACATGTCCAGCATCACTGGCCACGTACATCCACTCTGAACATGTCCAGCATCACTGACCACGTACATCCACTCTGAACATGTTCATCAGTACAACTAACATCATCCTATCTGGAGACAGAATATTTACGCCAACATGTGATGGGGTCCAGCATCACTGACCACGTACATCCACTCTGAACATGTCCAGCATCACTGACACCGTTACTGTGATGTATTGAGTTAAATCAGCTGTTGCTGTACAGAGTTAGCTGATAATAGTCTTATAACAATGTTCCTATATGTTTACACTGTATGACACAGTGACCTTATCTTCCAGACTGACGTCTCGCTGTGTTATGACATGGCGTCATCGTATCTGGAGACACAGAATATTTACGCCAACATGTGATGGGGACCAGCATCACTGACCACGTACATCCACTCTGAACATGTCCATCAGTACAACTAGCATCATCCTATCTGGAGACACAGAGTATTTACGCCAACATGTGATGGGGACCAGTACCACTGACCACGTACTTCCACTCTGAACATGTCCAGCATCACTGACCACGTACATCCACTCTGAACATGTCCAGCATCACTGACCACGTACATCCATTCTGAACATGTCCAGCATCACTGACCTCGTACATCCACTCTGAACATGTCCATCAATACAACTAGCATCATCCTATCTGGAGACACAGAGTATTTACGCCAACATGTGATGGGGACCAGCACCACTGACCACGTACATCCACTCTGAACATGTCCAGCATCACTGACCACGTACATCCACTCTGAACATGTCCATCAGTACAACTAACATCATGCTATCTGGAGACACAGAATATTTACGCCAACATGTGATGGGGTCCAGCATCACTGACCACGTACATCCTATCTGGAGACACAGATTATTTACGCCAACATCTGATGGGGTCCAGCATCACTGACCACGTACATCCTATCTGGAGACACAGATTATTTACGCCAACATGTGATGGGGTCCAGCATCACTGACCACGTACATTCACTCTGAACATGTCCAGCATCACTGACCTCGTACATCCACTCTGAACATGTCCAGCATCAGTGGCCACGTACATCCACTCTGAACATGTCCAGCATCACTGACCACGTACATCCACTTGAACATGTGTCCAGCATCACTGACCACGTAATCCACCTGAACATGTCCAGCATCACTGACCACGTACATCCACTCTGAACATGTCCCAGCATCACTGACCTCCGTACATCCACTCTGAACATGTCCAGCATCAGTGGCCACGTACATCCACTCTGAACATGTCCAGCATCACTGACCACGTACATCCACTCTGAACATGTCCAGCATCACTGACCACGTACATCCACTCTGAACATGTCCAGCATCACTGACCTCGTACATCCACTCTGAACATGTCCAGGCATCACTGGCCACGTACATCCATTTTGGAACATGTCCAGCATCACTGGCCACGTACTTCCACTCTGAACATGTCCAGCATCACGCTGACCTCGTACATCCACTCTGGAACATGTCCAGCATCACTGACCACGTACATCCACTCTGAACATGTCCAGCATCACTGACCACGTACATCCCATCTGAGACAGAAATATTTACGCCAACATGTGATGGGGACCAGCATCACTGACCACGTACATCCACTCTGAACATGTCCATCAGTACAACTAGCATCATGCTATCTGGAGACACAGAGTATTTACGCCAACATGTGATGGGGACCAGCACCACTGACCACGTACATCCACTCTGAACATGTCCAGCATCACTGACCACGTACATCCAATCTGGAGACACAGAATATTTACGCCAACATGTGATGGGGACCAGCATCACTGGCCACGTACATCCACTCTGAACATGTCCAGCACCACTGACCACGTACATCCACTCTGAACATGTCCAGCATCACTGACCACGTACATCCACTCTGAACATGTCCAGCATCACTGACCACGTACATCCACTCTGAACATGTCCAGCATCACTGACCACGTACATCCACTCTGAACATGTCCAACATCACTTACCACGTACATCCACTCTGAACATGTCCAGCATCACTGACCACGTACATCCATTCTGAACATGTCCAGCATCACTGACCTCGTACATCCACTCTGAACATCGTCCAGCATCACTGGCCACGTACTTCCACTCTGAACATGTCCAGCATCACTGGCCACGTACATCCACTCTGAACATGTCCAGCATCACTGACCACGTACATCCACTCTGAACATGTTCATCAGTACAACTAACATCATCCTATCTGGAGACAGAATATTTACGCCAACATGTGATGGGGTCCAACATCACTGACCACGTACATCCTATCTGGAGACACAGAATATTTACGCCAACATGTGATGGGGTCCAGCATCACTGGCCACGTACATCCGCTCTGAACATGTCCAGCATCACTGGCCACGTACATCCACTCTGAACATGTCCAGCATCACTGACCACGCACATCCACTCTGAACTTGTCCACCAACTCTGTGTGCCTCCTCCTGTCTGGAGACACAGAATGCAGCTTGAACAATTCAGATTTCGTAGTCTGAATTTCTAAAATCAAATACTCCAGAACGTTCCAGGCACATAAAGACAGATGTCTGTATCTTTTAGATACAAAATAAAATAATTGTATATTTTACAAACATAAAGCATGTCATGCAGTGTCACACATTATGGTCTTCCATGTTGGAATGTATAACCTAATTGTCACTTACATCATTTGTGTGATTCACTGAGGAAATACTTGTCTTTCATCGTTGATCTGGTGTAATCTTATATCATTCTCGTCGTTGACACGTACAGCACACGCAATTGACACATTTCGACTATTTTGTCAGAACAGAGATTATGAAAATAAACTTATTTCCAGGACTGTTTCGGAACGATACATTGAAGTTAGCAATAGCAATATCGATATCTTTTCAGCACAGCAACATGAGATGTCATAGTTTTCATTCACCTTCAATACTTTGTAAATAATACTTAACATTGTTTACTTCAAAGAAGCTTCGAACATTCATCAGAACATGGATTCATCTAAAATTCTAACCATATATGTAAATCTCACTATGCATGTAATTTGATGTTTCATATCGAAATTTCAAATTGAAAGCAAATGATTCTAAATGTATAGAATTGACCCAACTGACCTTGTGTATGTCTTTATCTACAAGTCGATGTTTTGCTATAATTATATAGATAGCAGAGTATTTCTGTAACCTGTAACACAGGTACAACTGTAGAACTTCAGAGGCCGTATTTAATCTGTTCGTCTTCAATATTTGGTGCTTTATAGTCAGATTTTACATCTGGGATACAAGATAATCCAATATTTCTATATTTCCAATTTGTTCCTATGTTGCTGTATTTTTTCTGTTTTTATACTTTTTATATTTGGGATGTATACATGTTTTGTGTATACACACTGTAGCTATTATGCGTGTATACAGAAGTGGATCTGCCAGGTAACCTAATACTAGGGATACCCAGTACAGGAAAACTGTATCAACATTCTATATGCTTCACATGGATCAACCTTTTGTTGAATAGGATATCCGCACTGTGATATCTTGACAAATGTAATGATTACTAATATCTTATGCTAACAATTAAATCACATGATATATACGGACCTAGAAGGTCCCCTCGTCTTCGCCTGACTGTTTAGTGAGCCAACATAACCCAACTGGACACAATGGCGTCCCTGTACCCA